CTGGGTGGTTGTCAAAATTATGGTCCCTTTTTGGGTCCTTAATATAATACGGCACCTATTATTTAGGGTACCCCCAAAGGGACCCTAATTTTGACAACTACCCATCTGAGGCGGCGCGCGAAAGCATGGCCCAGGCGACAAAGCATCCCAAGCTGCTGCTGGCTGATGCCTCAACGCTGCGAATTCCGAGGCTTTGAGGGGCACTCGTAAGCATCCCCTTTTCTACACAAGCTGAGACTCTCAAAGCAGAATTCCAAATATACTCTCTTTATGCTTCGGACTTCTCCTTTACCTACCCTACCTACCCTCTCTAGGCTTCTTTGCTTATGCCTCTCTTATGCTTCTCTTATGACCCTTGTGCGCTTCTGAGAGGCGGAGGCCGGCGCACCCGGAAACGCTCAGCATCATGCCTCAGCATTACGTGGGTGCCTCAGACCCTGTCTTAGATGATGGGTTTTTTTGGGGGTTAGGTTTATTTTTTAAAATGCAGTAGCCCCTTTCTCCCGCAGGGTTTAGGGATGTCGGCGGGATCTGAAGTGCTTCACCCGAGGGCTTCAGGTATTGCCACGTGTGCTGTGTCGCCTGCCTCTGCCGGGATGAGCGTTTGGAGCGCGCGCGCGCGCGACGTTTCCGATGCCGCCCATGAACGTTTGTGGGGGCCGGGTCAGAAGAGAATCCAACTCAAGCACTAGCTTAGGCGAACAGGCAGTCCAATTCGAAGACCTGCAGAGTGAGCTTCCGACAGCCAGCATCTAGGAAGAGCAGGGGCCGCATGTTCGGAGAAAATCATGCGGGGCTGAGGTGGTTGCAAGGCTTGGAGGCGGCTTGCTAGTATCGCTTGCGGACATGCAGCAGTTCCGGCATACCATAGAGCACGTGAAGATGCACTACTCGAGCAAGTGGCCCCGACTCTGGCGATCGGTTACTGAATCGAGCTGCCAGGGCCAGAGGAGTCCGAAAGCCAGGTCCATTGTTCTGTGAAGTTCTAACTGGAGTCTTGATCTCGCGCTGCTCACTCGAACTCGGATGTTTTCTGGACTGGCTACCTAGTTCACAGGGGTGATGAGCATGAAGCATAAACCAGCTCGCCACTAAATTCGGTCCGGCACCTTGCTTGATGAGAATGTTAGAAGGGAAGCAATTGTCTGAGATTGAAGAACAGCGCAGTGTGCCCGCCACCTCTTAATTCTGAGATCATGCTGATGCGAATGATTCGAGAGTTGTGTATGTCCTTGTTGTAGGAGTCGGCAATGCATGCGCATGAGTTGCAGGGCTTCACGACATTGGTTCAAAATCATGAACCATGCTCTTCTCTTTCACCCGCCAGCGTGTGCACCGAGTACGGTACGCATGTCTTGCGAAGTTGGGGTTCCATCTAAATGCTTTGTCTGCATTGAACGGAGCCCGCAGCATTTCATTGTTGAACGCAGTCTAGATGGACGGCGAGAGCAGCTTCACTGCAAAGACTGTGCTGTTCGAGTTGCAGAGCTTTGCATCCTGCCTGCCACACGTCTGCTCCAAGGGCAAGCCTCGAACTGAAACTAACCAACATGAGTGAGCAGGGCCCACTGACTCCCCCAGCCGCTCCTCTTTTGGATCCATGCGCTTGGATCCGCATTTCGTCGCACAGCACGACGAGTCCTTCAAGATGGGTCTCCGAAACAGCTCCCACGGAGCCTTGAGCCGGTCCTCGCTCGTCGGCCCGGGCGAGGCGAGCACTCGGAGCTACGCGCACCCGGAAGTCCTGCAGAGGAGAAGCGAAGCTCCGGCTGACCGGGTGAGTCGGGCAGTTTTTGAGAGCTCTTAGAGATGTTTAGTGGCTTTTTTGGTGGTGTTTTTTTTGGTAGTGGTTTAGGCATGTTTATGAGTTTAGCGAGACTTAGTATTCGTTGGGGCTCCTTGAGTATCAAGGCTGCGTGCCAGCATTGGGCTGGGTCGAGGATCTGCTTCAGGGCCAGCGGCTCCAGGCAAGCAGATGTGGAGATTCCAAAGGTCCACGGAACTGACTCTGCGTCGGGCATCTCGCAGAGAATCTCCACGTTCCGCACTTCGACGTCAAAGCCTCAAGAATGTATGAGACTGTGGGCATGCCAGATGACATGCAACCGACTGTCAACGGCCAGGGAGCTTGAAACTAATTTCAGCAAAAATGGCTGGCCAGCGTGTTCGGTGTTCGACCAGGGCTTCTTCCTTCTCTGAATTTTCAACTTCGGCGCGGCAACAAGCTTCTGGACAAGCACACCTCAAGTCGCTACCAAGTGTCGCATCTGCTTGGCAGATGGCCTCGACTTCCCTGTCCTTGGTCTGCAAGGGAGATTGTCAGACGTCCAGAGAAGCGACGGATTGCAGAGAGATGCGGCGACCTTCAAAGGAGTGTCCGAGCTTTGCATGAGGACAGCTCCATGATCCATGTGAGGTAAAGACCAAGCATGACAACGGCACCAGAACTGCACGCAAGACTTCCAAAGCACCAACCCGTCTCAGTGATAAACGGCAAGGCTCCCAATCTCGCAGCCGTACAGAAAGCACCAAGCGCTCAACAGAGGCGTGCAAGTGAAGCCCACTTCGTAGGCTCAGCTCGACCTGGAGATGTCAACGAGAGCCGTGCACGGATGCCTTTCAATCGGTTCTGCGAGAAATCACAGTGCAGGCTCACGCCTCTTCGAGCCAGGCACTCTGAATCTCCAGCGGAAGAAAGATCCCCAAGTTTTCCAGCACTCTCTCCTCCAGGCCAACGATCATCGAGTAAAGTGTGGCATCATTCTCAACATTGACCGTAACTTCTCAACAGCTGAGGCAGGCTTGAGCCAGCCGGGTCCTGCAACTCCAGACGTTGCAACGTGACCGAGATGCCCAGAACAGACAGGGCCAGTAGCTCATCGTACGGAAGGTCCTCGTGCAGTGATGCTTCGATCTCATAGCTCGAACGATTTGCAGGTCTCGGTCCTTAACCACGAGCGGCGCATGCTGCTCGAGAAGACGGACCACGTGCTGCTTAAGCGCTGCATTCCCCATCTTTTCCCATGCGGCTGCAGGTGCTACTTCAGACTTGCCATTCGTATCTGCGTTACTGCCATCGGTGCGGTGCGTTTCTTTGACTGCGGGTGAGAATAAGAGATGCTTGGATGGTTTATGCCTGCCGGCATGGGATCGGTCAAGCTTGTGCTTCAGCCTCACACTAAAGGTCGGCTGTACGACGCCAAGGATATCTACTTCATATATGCATACAGCTGCATACACATACATATTATACACACCAAAAACTCGGACTTCAAAAATTGAAATCAATCCTGAACCGCTTAATTGCAAAAAACTTGACAAAGGTCCCTGTCTTGAGACTGTGGCAGCGGAACTTGTCCATACAAGAAAACGACATCCCGGAAGGCTCTCTTACTGCCACGTCAGCACTCGTCTCTTTGATCCATGTGAGCGAACCGAGGCTAAGAGAGAGCCTCAGTAGAATAGTCTCATGCTCGAGACCATCTGCTCGCTGCGAGTGGGTTGAAAAAGAAGTCTTATTCGGACGTACTGGGAGCTGCCTGCCCAAAGGTCACGAGCTGACGCTTCGAGAAGCGCTTCTCTAGTGTCACAAAACTGAGACCTTGACAAGCTAACCCTTTGAAACCGGGTCAGTGTCGGTGGTAGTGCCACTTACGGAGGACGCTGGAACTTAGCGGTGCTGCTGTAGCTCATTGCCTCCCGGATATCTGCGGGCTGCAGCTTCTGCATCTCACCTGCGCTTCACACATCGCGACAGGCATGACAGGCCCTGGGATGGTGCACGAGAGCGCGACTGGCCTTCTGGATCTCTAAGATGACAACAGTGCAAGGCGAACGTTGTCGGCCCTCAGCGCAACCTTAGAAGCTAAATGCATCAACATCCCGTGGCGCAGGTGCTCGGAGCTCAGTACCGGACGCGATCCCCATCAGGTAATCTCACGATGACGCGGCCCTGCAGGGCTGACGAGCTGCACAGCTGAACCCTGCGACCATCCTCTGACATGACAGCGAAGAAGCCAATCGTTCCTGCCCACTAGACTCTCTGCAACAACAGCCAGTTTCCCGGAATGTCTGACGCAAAACTAGATCCGACTGAACGACATAGGCCCGCATAAAGCAACTTGGTAAACCGGGTCAACCAGCACAAGATTGCCTGGCATGCATGTAGTCATGCAGATTCCTAGTAGGATAGCCAGAAGTAGTGTAGGAGAACTCGACAGTCTAGCTTGGTCTCTCGAGGTACGACGGTTCAGGCACGACTCTCGGACGCGTTTCGACCATGCCGCCACATCGGACGATGCGCCTGCGCGCATCAGTCACACTGTACACGTCTGCATCACACTGCAGCATGTGGCACGGCATGGAACTGTGCATCATTGGCCGCCCGCCCCTTGTTGAGCCGGCTTCGCTTCAGAGCGTTCTCACTCTTGGAGGGACGCGACTGTAGTCAAAACAATACCAATCACAGGAGCAGCCAGTGTACACGTCGCGCACCAGCACATCCACAAAAGAGCTGAAGGCCGAAACACGTTTTGACTTCTAGATTCCAGTAGGTTCCGATGTGACACATGCTGCTCGCTCCTGACATCGCTTGTTACAATGTCAGGTGCTTGTCTTGCACCCTCGCAGTCGAGACGAGCTGCAACTTTGCCTGATCAAGTCCAGCACATTTCAACAAACAATCATGTGACATGTGAGTGCACGACTATCGAAGCCTCACCAAATGAGGAAGCTCGAAGCTGAAAACTTTTGCCTTGGCCCACTGCTCCACTGCAGGGAAAAAGCTGCGGGCATCTGACATGACCCATCGCTGTCTTCGCTTTGAAGCCAGCAGCCGGATGGTGCGTCACAGCAAATAATCTGCGCCCTTGGCCTTATGGCACCACGACGGGGGCAAGCATGACCACAACAGCCACGATCGCTGACGCTGCTGAGGTTCCCACTTGCAATGCCCGTCCACTTGACGGTGCTAGTCGCCTGCAAGAGCAACGTCACAGGCGTCAAGTTGGAGTCGTTCGGAGCACCCGAAACACCTGCAGATCCTGCGAGTCCTTGTAAATGTCAGCATCTGCTCGTGGGAGCCTTGTGCATCGTTTAACTGATTCGCGACGGCTGATTCCGGCCAAAGAGCCTGTGTCGCTGAAGAACCGCTCCTGCTTTCGCAGCAAGCAACCCCAAAACATCTGAGAGCGCACATCGACTTCAGCTGCCCCACTCTCCGTGCCCTCTGACACCTGGATTCTCTGCAAGGTCCACGACTATCAACTCTCCGGAGCGAAGAAGAGCATAAAGTAGTTTCTTCGCCTTCGGCACCGCACCGAATGGACAAGCGATGTGACTCTTCACGTGTCAACACGAGCGAGATTCCGCCTCATCGACTTGTAGTGCCGACACCGCCTTCAAAACAACGGCAGCTGAGGGAGTAGGCGTCAGCAGACGTCAGCATTGCTACAGTATGGTCGTTGTATCGCCCCAGTTTCCTTGCGGCTGTGGTCACAGATGTTTAGGGCTGCAGATGTTGTCGCAGTAGCCGAGGCTGGGGTGAGGTGGAGGAGCTACTTGTCATGTCCTTCAGCGCTATGCTGTCATTGTTGCGGTTGTTGAGGTGGTTGTTGTTGTTGTTGTTGCTGCTGCTGCTGCTGCTCTTGTTGACGATTCCGCTCTCCTCCTCTTCCTCCTCCTCGTCCTCCCCCCTCCTCCTCGTCCTCCTCCTCTTCCTCTTCCTCCTCCTGTTTATCTTCAACATGCAAGCGGGGCTGTGAAAGCTGGGGCAAGGAACTCTCTGGAAGATGCAGCAGCGAAGCTGAATCGTTCTTATTTCTGCCGAACTGCAGGGGTGCTTGCTTGCAAACGGCAGCTGCATCCGTAGACGCTGTGCTGATGCGTCCCAATTTGTATGGTTTGACTTGAAGAAGCTATGTCCCGTGCATCGGCATGGAGCCTGCCTCATCTAGAGGGACACGAAAGTCCAAACCTCACAGAGGGGCCAGCAAAATTCGTCCGACCGGGATATTGAAATCCTATAGAGCGAGACTTCGACTCCCCCTTCAGCTCCCGGCTTACATCCATAGGCCCGTGACCACCAGAGTTGAAGAGCCTGATCGCACTCGTAAACACGACACACGACATGACAATCTCTCTGGCTGCCGCCTTGCAGCGACGACGCCCAGTGTCGGGCTGGCAATCAGGTTGCAAACAGCACGTGGCTACTTATCCCGCAGCACGTGCAACACATGTCCGGAATCGGGGCAGCTCCACCCCGCCAACAACAGCAGATCCTTCTCGGCCCAGTACGTGAGGCCAGTCACAGCCTGCTTGGTAAGCCACATGAATGCGTTGAGCGGTGCATTTGCGCCCAATTATCTATCGGGTGCTCCTTGGCATCGGGGGTGTCATTGCCAGCGAAAGCCAAGTGAACACCTGACGGAGAAAAGACTTTCAGGCTCCTGTGTCCTACATGCACGACGTCTTTAACTTAAACCTGCGCTTCGTGGCCCCCAAATCTTGTCGAGGAGCTGGTCTCTTGTCTCCACGGGAAGCTGGCAAGCGGCCCAGCCTCAAAACTCGCACTCTGAAAAACAAAAGAAGAGAAGGGAAGAGGGTCCATGACACGAGGGGCTAAGTCAGCTTGATTTTTTTTGCAGCAGGCTGAGCAGCAGGCGGGCCAAAGCTAAGCCAAAGCTGAGCTGCGCGCAGAGAAGTGATGCAGCTGGTGACGTCCGGCCAGGAGCACAGAGTTGTTCTCAGTCGCAGCTGAGAGCTTCGCTGCAAGCATTGCAGAAACCTGTGCAACTCAGTTTTGAAGGTCCCGAACCACAGCTGCAGCGCCGTTGATCTCCATGCCAGGCAGCGGCTGCCTCGACAGAAGATCTTGAACACTTCAGCTCTCTTGGGCAAGACATCTCCGGGAACCCGGCTCATCTTGTAAGATGGCAGCGTGATCTGCATCTCGCAGCCTGTGGCTCATGCTGACCGTGCACAAACAGAGTAGCCAAGATTTGGCATGCAAAAACTTCAGCCGATAATTTTTCCGAGGCTGAAGATGTCTCTCAGGTCTGCATCTTCTTCGAGGCACGCTGCGGATGTCCGGTTTGCGCATTCCTGCCTCGCGACCGCGACCGGTGGACGAAAGGGACTGACCTCCATAGAGACAGACGGACCCAAGGGTGCGAACTCATAGGGGACCACAGAATTGTATACTTTGCCCGGATCCCGAAGCTGGACCTGCGGACGCCACCACTCCCTGTATCCGTCTGTTTTGGCACTTACTACCTTCACGGACTCAGGCTCGTCGGTATGATGGTTGAGATCTGCCGGTGCAATATCATCTACATCCACGAAGTTCTCGTAGCAGAGTCTTTCCTCACATGGCGAAAGCCCAATACCCAGGGCCTTCTTCACAGGCAACACGAGCTCACTGAGAACGTGACATATGAAACCATCGGGCAGCAGGCTCTCTTGAAAGCGCTCCACCAGCTTGCCATCTTGGAAGACGCCACTGTCCTGGGGCCGGAGAACTCCCTCCGGCGTGAATCGCAGCTGCAGACCATTGAGGCTGCCATCCTTGCATGTGATTATCCACCGCAGGTCGCCCCCACGTCCGTATTTCACATGATACCCGTCGGCTGGTCGCATGTTCGGACGAGTGAAATACTCCGAACCCAGCTCCGGAGGCCCTGGTACACTAACCAGTCGTCCATCGACTCTCTCTCTTACCTCCGGCAAGAGCTTGGCTTGACCAAGTGGCCAAATAGCTGCCAAGCCACCATCTGCATGGTACACGGCAACCCCGAGCCCGCAGGCAAACTTCACGACTGCGTTGGAATCCAAGGGAGTGAAACCACGGATCCGGTGTGGATAGTCTTCCTGGGTGGCAATTGGGTGGGATGGTCCGAAGCAGTTTGCTGAGTGTATTGCCTCTGAAAACAGGAAAACGCATGCGATCCAGGAAGCTGTGTCCATGAGTCTCATCAGATTTTTGCTCCGGTAGGAGAGCCGTGGCCATTGCATCTCTGCAAACTTAGCCAGACCACCCTGTACATTCTCGAGAAATGCTGTTACGTCTGCAACATCCAGACAAGCACTTCGCAAATTGCCAAAAGCCCTTACTTTCAACCGACATGGCATGCAGGCAGCACGAGCAGCTGAGAGCACCCTGTTCAACACGCGACGACGTCTCCCGGTGAGCGTTGACAAACATCGAAAAGCTAAGGCCTCTGCCTAAAACGTGCCGCTCGAAAGTCCGTGGTCAGTATGAGAGAATCCTCCTGACGAACCCACAGCACATGATAGCTCTCGGTCATCGAGAACGCAGGGGTAAGCAGAAGAAGGCTGAACAGACCCGAAACCAGAAAATCTCGAGTCACATGTTCCCATCCTCCAAAGCCAGAATGGCCGTAGGATTGAAGAACCTGTAGTCAATCACCAAGAGAAGTTCCCCAAATGCCCCATCGTGCTCTAAGACTGAGCTTCTGGCATCGGCCACTCGACGGACCTTGGTGAACAGACAGGAGCTGCCACGTAACACTGGCCACGCACCCTGAAATATTCTTCCCATCACGGCCGGGCCACCATTCCACCAGGGAGGTGACCGGTGATGCCCGAAGTGGCCTGAGCGAGAGCTGCGGCGGCGGCGCATGGAGCCGCACCGCCGCCGCCAAAGACGTCAAAGAAATCGCGACGGCCAGGAGAACCTTGAAAAGCAAGAGTTTTCAGGGGAGCTCTGGGCACGTTGCCGACCAAGGAGAGGACCGCGCAATGGGTGGCCGCCATGATGTAGGTCGGACTGGACAGGTCTTTGCCCGTTCTTCCGAAGTTGTGGTGCTTCTCCGGGTACGGGCGAATGAGGCTCGCAAACGCCGCGACCAGCAGCGGTGGCAAAAAGATGCCAAGACGGGCATAAAATGCCATGGCATGATCTGTATAGTCTGTATAGTGCTCGCACCGCATGTGCAGCCGGAAAACCACCAGGAAACCCAAGCACAAGAGCGTGAAGAAACTGCCTCCGACCACGGTGCGATGAGCTTGATCTTCGTAGAGCTCCAAAGCCTGGACCTCTGGCATGTTGCTCATCTCCTGGCAGGGGAAGGCTCTGGCCCCAAGAGGATTTTGGGCCACTGACTTTGCCAAGTCTCCGTGACGTGCTTGGGAAGCCCGCGCGCTGCGAGAGAGGCCGAACCGCTCTTGGCTTGGTCCGACGTCTCCCGTCCCCTGGGCAGCTCACAGATGCATGGCAAAGCCGGAAAAGAGCGAGGTCAAGCGCTTGAATCCAAGGCCAAGCCGCATGGAGCCCTGGGCGTGGAGCTCCATGGTCAAGTAGTCCAACTCAATCCGTGAAGGACTCGACTCGAGCTTCCCAGTTGGCTCTGAAATGCTATGCCAGTCGTTGTCCGAGTCTGACTCGACAACAGAGGAGGCTCCTTCGCAACACATGGATCTGCAAGAGATGCCAATGCAACAGGGACGTAACGCTCTCACACGAGCTTCCGAAGCGCTCCTACTCGTGGAAACTGGCTGGGCGAGAAAGCAAAAATCCGTGCCACCAGACCCCAGGCGGCTGAGACCGCAAGTCCGGCCATCTGTCGGGCACCTTTGGCCCCTGTGTGCGAATGAAGCTTCTCGTCCATGTGCTTGCGGCTTCGCTGCCACGTCTCCCCCACAATTTCGTAGAAGGTCTCACCTGTGCTGACATCGCTCCGAAGGTTCTAGGGCCTCAGGCTTGGAGCAAGCTCCTGGCATTCGTCTTTCTCCTCCTCGGCCTGGCAAAAGGGAGGATCTGACAAACCTACCGGCCGACCCCAAAAGCACTCAATGCTCATCCGCCGACAGAGTCTGCCAGCAACCCTCGGCATATGTCAGTTCGCCTGCTGCGAAACAAGAACCTGCAGCTCACGCAGGTGGTGCTTTCCTTAGCCCAACAAGCGCAGCTTCCCGGCACTTGGCTCTCTTGCCGGGCCACTTCTCTCATTCGGGCCTTGGGCCTCGTGTCGCTGGGAGGCTCTGGTTCAGCTCACGGCTTGGCAATGCTTGGCAATGGCTGCCGGGCACTTTTCACGTCGCAGTGTAAAAGAGTTTATCGGACAGGTCTGCAGCAGAGCTCGCGGCAAAACTGGCTGCACAATGGAAGCTGGTCCTGCTCCTGCCCCCCGCTCTCCCTTCCTCCGTAGTTGCTTCGAGCACAGGACTTGGCTGGAAGGCTGCCACTTAAGTGGAGCGCAACACGGAATAGAACGTGGAAAACTGGCGAAAACGGACAGCGTTGCCTCACCGACGCGGCTCACAGCTGTTCCGCCATACTGCGTCTGCTCAGAGACGAAAGAACTTCGCCGTCTAAGCCACACTCAAATGAGCTTGCCTCCGGCTTCCCTCTGCTGGCGTTCCTTCAACCGCATGCGCTTTGTCATTTCTCTGGAGCCCTTCAGGAACGTCATGAGGTCTTGGTAATCCTTACACATGAGCTCTTCGAGGCTTCGTGATCGAAACACAATATCTCAGTGCTTGGGGGAACTTGGCCAAAAGAGGAACGAAACTGTTCAAGCAAAGGATCCGCAGCCTGCTGGTCATTCACATCTAGCAGGAAGTAGCCATCAATCGCCTCAGGGTCCTCGGCATTATCCTCCCAGACAGAGAAGGGTCGAGGCCACACTCTGACTATGACCGCCGGGTTCAGGGGCACGGGATCTTTGTCTTCATCAGGCTCAAACTGCTCCAAGTGAAAGATGGGTAACAGTGTACCCTCCATGCTCCGGAAGTTGCGCAGCATAACTCCTGCTGCAGCAACGCTATCCTGCAAAAGCTTCGCATTCAGGAGCACGACGGGAATGGTCTTGCCCGTCTCCTTCATGATCTCGAAGATTGCCAGGACAGCTGCCATTTCGGACTGATTGGGTGCAACAATCAGAAGCATTGATGATTCCAAGAACTCCTCGATCTTGGTCTTTTCTTCCATTTTCAACTCCATCTTTGGCAGGACAGGTGGCAAGTGATCCAGAGTCAGATTCTCCGGGAGTGGATTCCATCGTGTGGAAACTAGCGACATTGCGCCGAAATCTGTGAACAGAACACGGACCCCCTTCCCCTGAGGTAGTCTCGGGGACATGGCCAGTGTCTTTGCAAACCTCTCTGCAAATTGCAAGACGTTGCCAAGCTCACCGGAGACCTGGTTGTCAATCGTGCCAGTGTTGAAGTACATGCTCTGGCGCATCTGGCGCTCAGCGGTCGCCCGCAAGAAAGCCGAGCAGGCCCAGTTCACGGCCTGGTCACAGAAATCGTTGTCGAGAATCCCTAAACCCCTAAACCCTAGACCCTAAAAAATGGCCCTGAACCCTAGCCTCTTCAAACAATTTTGTTTCCAGTTCACGGCGCCTGGTCGAAGCTCTGCGGCACGGGGGACGAGGCGTCCACGGTCGCCTGCACCATCTCCTGGAGGGTTGTTCGAAACCGAAAAAAAAGTTTTTTCCTAAAGAGGGTGTTTAAAAAAGATGGATTTGAGAAACGAAAAGAGGGTTTCTAAAAAGACTGTTTAAAAAACCCTCATCTCCTCCCTCATGGACAGGGCCAGCTTCGCCTCTTCCGTCAAGCCTGCGCTGCGGCTGCACAACAGAGGGGAGAGCTTCCTTTCCGTCGTTTAGTGGTTATTTATTATGTTGTTATATGGTTACTTTCATATATTAGTGACTAGTGTATTATATTCTACTATATTTGCGTGTATTAGTGGAGCTAGAGAGGTCACAGCGAAGAGAGAGAAGAGAGAAGAGAGAAGAGAGAGAAGAGAGAGAGGAGAGAGAAGAGAGAGAAGAGAGAGACGAGAGAAGAGAGAAAGACAGAGAGAGAAAGAGAGCGAGCAAGCGAGAGCTTCCCCTTCCCGGATCCCGCCGGCAGTCTTCTTGGTGAAGGGAGTGGCCCGACGCCGGACTGCCGCCCCAACAGCAACTGCGGCCAAAGCCGCAGAAGGCAAATGCGCCTGCAGCGGTCTGACCTCCGCGCAACACTGCTTCTTCAGAAAACAAGAATGTAGTAAGAAGTGAGAGCTTCTGAGCAAGGCCCTCGCCAGTGCAGGGGATGGCCGGGTTCCAGCCAAAACCTGCGGCCTCGCCAAAACTCGGAAGCTCCTCCTTTCTCTCTCTCTCGGAAGTCTTCCCCTTTGAAGCCTCACCGCGCTGCGGGCGCTCGGAGGCAGCGGAGCCAAGGCCACGGACTCCATCGGAACTCACGGAGTCCTAAAAACGAACGAAGCCCTGGACAGTCCCTGAGATCTCACTTTAGGTGCTGAAGCTCATCATGATAATCCATCCCTTGCATGGTGCTTGATCCACATGGAGCATGACAACAACAGGTTCGCACCTAGTATCGTGCAGCATCATGCAGCATGAGTGGTTGCATGTCATCTATCATAGTTCAGTGGTCGGCACCCTTCGAGCATCTTGTGCTTAGTGCCAGGCCCACCGTCATCATTCCACGCCTAAGCCCGTGAGCGGGCTCAGTCCGTCTGCATCCGTAAGCACAGGCTTGAGATGTGTGGCGGCATTAGTATTAAATTCGAACGGCTCTGCTGCCTTTGTCATGCTCGACGGTGGAAAAAGCGAGAGGTGCGCAGGTTTGGTCTGTTGCAGGACGGCGTCGGGTTGCAGAGGGTACCAGGTTCAATATTTCTTTCCCTCGGACCCGACAATAACCCGACAATGCAATGATGTTGACACGGCACTTTCCGATTACCGTCAATGAGGAGGAGGAATGGAGCTGCTGCAGTTCAGCTTTCCGCAAGAAGTGAGATCGTCAAACGCCTATACATTCATGATATTCAGCAGTGAGCTCCAAAATGCTGAAGCATGTCACTGAACATATCAAAACTTGCAGTAGTTTGTCATTTCCGGATGTACTGCGAAAGTTTGGTGCAAGAATGGTGGGGAGGGTCGCGGGTCGGTGTAAACATTCATCCCAATCAGCTGGCTCAAGTGTCTCCACTGCAGCACCAGTACGTAGACGTCGGCAAGCAGTATCACACATGCCCAAACTGTTTGGGGTACCTTTTTCGTGATGAAAACCGTCCCCTGCTTGGGCTTCTATGGCTGGCCGCCGTGCAAAGCAGATAAACCTACCTGGATGATTCACTCTGAGGCTCCAGCTGGTAAAGCACCGCGAAGGTCATTGACTGAAAGAGCAGGCAAATGCCCCAGGGCCTGAGTCAAGCAGATCGACTGCTCCCGGCGCACAGGAACACTCGATGCGGCCGTGCTAGGAGCTCGGCACAAGAAAAATAAACACATCCACATAAAGCTCCGACTGCATCTTCCTGCAGTGCAGAACACGTGTCATCGTCCCGCTTCCAAATAAAGCGCTGCTTACAGCTGGCACAGTCCCTTGCTGAAGTAAGAATGGCACTGCGGAGGGAAACCCTCAACAAGCATGGCAGCGACGAAGCCGAAAAGTAGTGTGGACCTGCCGCAAGACCGCGCACATATCGCATGCCAAAGAGGAGTCTCTGAAACAGACCGAGCTTGGCTGAGTGCGGGGCTTGAGTGTCAAGTTTTGGGAGCTGTCGAGACGCTCCTTACGCTCCAAGGGCAGCATCTGCCACCACGGGTGTCTCGAGCAATCTACACCACAGGCCTAAAGAAATGCTTCACATACCATGAGGCCGTCAGCATGTCGCGCACATCTTCTCGAAAGGACTCAATGCGGCTGTGCCTGCACAAGTGCAGTGGAAGACTTGCAGAACGAGCATGAAGAAGCCAGTCACTTCTATTTTGGTGAACAGTTTTGTTTCTCCGAGTACTGGAAGTTATCCTAGTACATGCTCTTGCAGGTGGTACGAGTCATACGAGTCACTGGCATATGCTGCTGTTGTCATCCATCAGCCCATGACGACGACGACATTGACCAGCTGCGATGAGGACGACACCGCAGCCGACAGCTGCTGCTGAGCACGGGAACAACAGACAAATCAAGCAAACTAAAGCAAACCACACGGAATCTCTCGACCAGCTGCCACCTACCGAACAAGCCCGCACCGTCCGAAGGTTATGACTTGATTCTGCAGCATCGGCATGTCGGAAGTACTCGGTCAATGCTGCAACCGCTCGGTCCCACCTCATCTGTACAACGTGGTGGGTCTTCGCCACCTTCTCGGAGCTGACCATCGGCCCCACCTGACATCCAGACCCGCCCAGATAGAATTGACATCAGAAACTCAAAGACACGCATTGATATATATATATATATACACATACATATACTGGCATCCTTCCACAAGCATTGAGCTTCGAAGCAAGCGACTGCAAGGACCACATCCAGGGCGACCTCATCAAAGCCGGGGAGCAGCAACGAACCCACCAAACAAAAAAAACTCCAAAAAACATTGCCCTTTTGGATTGCCCGTTCCTAGAGCCAAGCCACTCGGCCCAGCTCCATCAGCGATGCCATGGCTGCGATGGGTCATACAGTCTTGCCAAGCCTTTTTGTGATTTCGACCTTCACCTCCAGAGGCCCCTAGAAGCATCTTGCGCTCTTGCCGCCGATGCTGCAAGGACAGCCGACGACCGGCTGCTGAAAGGGATTCATGACTACAGTAGTTCGGTTGTCCGCAATCAGCCACAGCTTTGAACACCAGAGTCGCAAGCAAGAAAAAAATGAGCCGACCAAAATGTTCGATTCCGCCACAGGCTGCAACGGTGACCCGACCAAACGGAAGCCTCGGCAGCAAGCTCTGCTTCTGCAGCCGAGGGTGGTACAACCTCTCCTCGAATCACGGACAAAAGACGATCGAAGTGAAAAAGCTCAAAGTCAAGCCCGCCTTCCTGGCCATTGAGCTCTACAGCGCCTGCATGCAAAGACTGCCCCAACACTCCCCTGCCCGTGTTCCCAAGCCCGGCCTGTGAGCCCTTTGATGACCACCTTGCTTCCCGCAGGAAAGCGCCGCACCACTGTGGGGTCCGTGGGCACTGCAGAGACGGCAGCGGCGGAAGCGGCGGAAGCGGCGGAAGCCGCGGGCGGCTCTGGCGTCACATCAACTGGCGCACCCTCTTCGGCCTCAGCGCCAAGGGATTGGACCAAGCCCGAGCCTCTGCACTTTGGGAGCCTCGACTTCCGGAACGGCGGGTTTGTGGTCCTCGCCAAAGATCTTCTTGTAATCCTTCCGGAGGTCCGTGCTGTATGCCTGCGCTGGGTGAGGGGAGATGACAACACCTCTGATGAACGCTTCAACACATGCAATGCATCCGCTGCAATTTTCACTTGCTTGATCGCCAGTCTCGTCTAGATCCGTGGCAGACTCGATTAAAGACTGGAGATCGGGGTTCACGCTCAGCACGCGCCCAGGTGTGCCGCCTTGCATCACGAGGAGCAGTCGCATCAAGCGGAGGAGCCCACGTTGTCGTTTAGGCATCTCTTGAAACAGCATGTCCCAGCAATGCAAGAAGCCCGTGAACCAGAGTGCTGAATTTAAACACATTGGACAAGAAAAATCTCGAAGTGCATGAGCTTGGCTTCAGCTGTGTCCATTAAAAGCTGAGGTCCATTCTCTTCGGCATCGAACGTGCAAGTCCGCACATCTCCTCGCGGTGAAGCACACTTGCTTGATATTGCCCTAGATTGTAGCAGAATGACAAGGGCCGAATCCGAATGCTCCTCGGCATCTGAAGAGTTCACCTCCACAACCTAGACACGGTACATGTCCAACCCTGGCGTGTCGGCAGTTTTCTCAACTTGCCTCGTAGCCAATTTCGAATGGTTTTTCGGAGGCAACACCTCATGCAGCTGACGCAATGCCATCAAGCAGCGCTGCTTACAGTGCAACCAGCAAGCCAACCAGCTTGGTTGCGGCAAAGCTACCCGAACCTCTGCGCCAAAGGTCTGTCCTGGCACTGAGCACACTTGCTCTGTCCAAGCCCGCTCCTCCGTCCACTGTTCCAAGCAATCCGGCTGAGTGCGTTCAAAGTCACGTCAAAGAGCCCCAAGCAGAGTTCTGGATTGCACGACTGACTTGTCCCGAGACCTTGCGAAATATTTCCAGAGCCGAGGCCGTCTTCAAGATGTTGCGCATTGTTGAGATCTTTTGGACCGTCGCATGACACTACTACTGTCCAGCGTCTTGCTGCACAAGTGAGCAGCACATCGCTTGTGCATGCCACTCGTTCTACCGAATGCACGGGCGAGGCGCGCCCGTTCAAAGCGCCTGTAAAGCGAGGGTAAACAAAGCTATCCAAGCGAGCATAGCAGCGTTCCGAATGCCGTCAGAGCGGGCAGGACCGGCCCGTTTCATCGACCATTCCCTGGTGGCAGCATAACTGGAACCACCACTGGAGCTGCAGTCGACATCCAGCAGGACCTGCAGAGGGCTCACGCTGCTGTCTCTTCGACACTAGTTCCTAAATGGCGGCGCTGCACTCTTTGCTGCAGGCTCTCCTCGCATGATACTTCGCTGCACAGCACTTGGTTCTCCCCCCTAAAAGCACCCGCGGCAAACTGGAGAGACAACAGCTGGTTATCTAGACCCGGGGAATGTGATCTTTCCTGGGGAGCAGTGCAAGACATTCAAACCTCAGGTAATGTTTCGAGGTGCAACAGGCAGGGTTCAAATTAAAGGCTTTCGAACTTAAACGAATCAAAACCGTTTAACCTCAAACTTCAACCCATCGAGCCTTGCACTCTCGAAACTCTCGATAATTCAATCATTCGAACTGTCAATCTTGAATCTTGTGCTCTCAAACTTGAAACAAACGAACGCTGTACAAACAAACGAACGGTGTACCCTCGACCCTCGAAAACGGTCGAAATTTCAACTGTATTTTGAAGCTTTCAACCTTTGGGAGCCGATCTAACTCGGCCGCGCCTAAAGTTTGGAGATTGAGTGGGGAGAGACATTCGAGCTCGACAGCTTGAAAGTTCGAACGGTTGGAATTTGAGACGTCAGAAGTTTCATGCCCACTCCATTGGGCATAACAATGCGCTCAATCTTTCGAACCCCAACACCTGTCAAGCCTTCAAAACTTCAAAGTTCGAGGCTTCAGAACTTTCACACCTCGGACCTTCCATCTCGCTCGGGACACCATTCATTCGGATTTCGGGGATTGGGGTGTAGGGGTTCGGAGTTTAGAATTTACAGGCTTAGGATATGGGAAAAGGGTCTAGGGCTTCGGGTTTCGGGGTTTAGGGCTCAGCTGGAAAATTATAGAACCGGTGTCGGTGTGAAAATAAACTGCTTCCGGCGATTATTTTGCTTATTCTGCCTCTGGGAGGGGATAGCGCCTTGAAACCTTATTCACGGGCGGGCACTCCACACCAAGGTTCACCTCGAAGGCCAGTTTGGTGTCTCGAAAAAGAGTCCCTCCTTTTATTTCGGTACCACAGGCTTCGCTGTACAATGCTGTAGCCCTTCCCTGTATGACTTCCATGTATGGGACAACCTATGGTGAGTGCATTCTGCAGCTAATGTCTTACTGACTTTCCTGAGGTTGGGTAGTGGTTCCACCATGTACCTCGCCCCATTCACTAGCAAGACCTCATCGCCAACCTAACACAGATTATCAGATGTCACTTTTCACGCACAGTAGGACTTTGAACGCCCTTGCATCTGGAGGAATTTAAGACCATTCTGTCTTGAGAAATCCAAGATTGACAAGTTTGATTTGCTTGTCGCTAAAGCTTTCGCCGTGGTCGGTGCCAGTCTGCCATAATCCTACACGGTTCCGACAGCGCGGGGTGACCTGCCAACTTTGCCACATGCCAACTTTTTCCTTGTCGCAACAGTATCATGAACGGAACTCATTGACTGTCCTCCAACACATCTGCAACAATGCACCTGCACACTCACCTATTGGATCTTGGGAAAACACCATCCCAGCACATCCTTGGAGAATAAAGCGCATGTACTTGGCTTAACCATGTAGAAACGTTCACATCGCAACTTCATGCCCTTGACTCTGCATGGAAACCGATCATGGCAAGGTTACGGCAGCGGCAGCTATGACTTCACTTGTGGGACAGTGTTACAAATGAACCTGGTATGACGCGAGTGCTGAAACATGCTGAAACAAACAAGGACGGTGCGCTTCCAAGCAGTTCCAAGCATGCCTCCGTCCTTGCCCACTGTGGGAGCTTAGACGGATCAAAGATCAAGCTTCGTAGAAATTCCAGTGGTTTTTTGTTGATAACTCACTTCCAGAAGTCTAATTTTTTTCGCATCGTCTCAACCTGGCCTACCAGCAGCCTCGGTGAAGTAACCCCTCCCGCAAGCTTCGACTTGTCACCGAGAGTCGACCCTTCCCAGAAACATTCTCGACCGACACCACACAAATCCGGGTCTGGTCTGGGTCTGGGTCAGCATTCACTGGCAAGCAAGGAAGCATGCATGCACGAACGCGCGCACACACGCACGCAGGGGCAGGCAGGCAGGCAAAACAGCAAGCAAAACAGCGCCAAAGTCGCGAAACGCAAACGCCGGCTTTCCCATGCATGTCATGTTCTGCAGCATATCATAGGAACCATGAAATGGGAGAATCGCGCCTATGTTCCCCCGAACACCCTTATAAAGTGACACAAGAATCACCGGTGCACTGAGAACCTTTCCGTACCTTGACACAGTGTGGAGGATCTCGCGACTTTTGATGCACAAGAGGGGGTACCAACATCGCACCATCCGGAGATGAGTCATCCAAGCTCACAAAGCATAGCGCACATGGAACCCCCCACCTCCACGGGCTGCTGGCCCACTGATGCCGGGCCAAGGGTCTCTACAGCTTTACGCTGCAACATGCCCGCTAGCATCCGCAAGTCTGCATCCTGAATGCACTGGCTTGGCAGGCAGCTCTTGCCATCAACAACGGACTTGGCCACCATCTTGCGGCCATCTTCGACCACGTTGGTTTGCAGGATGCGGGCATGATTTTTGCAAAGCGCTCCACCCATGCTGCTGCAAGCTTGAGTGGCGTTCTGGCCGAAACGATGGAGATCTCTTGCCTGGCCATGCCCCTGGCAGGATCTCAAATTCGACAGCCTGTGAATCAGCTCACAACACAGCTCGATGAGCCCAAGCATCCTCGAGCATCGCCAGGAACTGCTTGCGGCAAGCCGGGCTCAGCTCGTGAAGGAACTCCTCCAGCTCCTCCTTCCGAGCAGTTCAGCCGGGCTGACCAGCAAAGGACCGCGCCCTTACCTCCCCCTCCCCTTCCCGCAACTCTGTTCGCGCCTTCGTGAGCTTGGCTGAGACCGGGGGCTGAAGCGAAGCTTCGATGTCGGCGGCCGTGCCCAGCTGCCTCAAGAGACCCTCCAGGGCACAGGACAGCCGACGACCTTCGCCAAAAAACCGAAAAAAGTTGCAGCCCGGGCGACGCTTCCTGGCTGCCCACGTGGCCTCGGAGCCGCTGCGGGGGGGGCGGCAGGAGACCCCACCGCTACGAAGGAACCGCCGCTGCTTGGAGGATCATGGGACTTAGTAAGTAAGGTGATGAGTCCCTTAATTGGGGTTGTAAGTATAGTTACCCTTATTATAAGCCTACTTACTAAGTCCCATGATCCTTTAAGTACGGGCATCTACTGGCGACTGGCCACCTGTCGCAAGGCATGGCCCCTGAGCTCGGAGCTTCCCAGGGTCGCGAAGCCCAGGTTTGAGGGCATCTCTGCGCCTTCGCGAGGCACGCGGTGGCCTCTGAGCTTTGCCAGCAGCTCCTGGTCAGCTAAGAGAGCTCAAGCTTGCTCAACACATGGATGGAGCCAGCCTGGTTCTGCTCTTGCAGCTTCTGTCTGTGAGCATTCACGACCTCTTCGGCTAAGGCTTAGGGTTTAGCGGAACGTGTGCTCCACAATGCGATACACAACAAAGCCTCCCGATCCATCGTCAGCACCTCTTCAGCCTCGGATCCATCACCTGACCGCCTCGCAGCTCAACGTGAAGAATTCCAGAAATGCGTTTTGTCACGCGGCTGAATGCATCTTAGCCGCTTGGACTTGTGCAGCGTATGCCGCTTGTGGCTGTGCTTGTGGACATGTGCGGAGGCAGGGATCGGGATGTTGAAAAAGATCACGCAAAGCCACCTGATGTACATATCAGCTTTGCCAAACTCGACACTATGCCTTGGATATGCTGAGAGCACGACGCTGTAAGCTTCATTGCTGCGCTGCTGTCTGCAGTGACAGCAACCCAGTTCAGTCGGGTCGGATCTTCAAGCCGAAATGTTCGCGGCGAGAGGGCGGCTGATCTGCACAACATTACCAAACATCGGCTAGAGCTTCAACTACCCGAAGTATGAAGCAGCACCTTCTGAAACATGGAGACTCGCCAAACGTCAAATCTGACACCTCGGACCTGCCCTGTCCCGGTGCGCACTGCATCATCTACGAAGACATCGTAGTGCAGAAGTAGTCTGGGTGTCCAGGCCACTGCTGTCAGTGCTTGCTCAGAGAAGGACCCAAGAAGAGGCACGTCCTGCAAATGCAAAGCTCAGGATGAAACCCACCTTCAACTAATGGGTCTCCCGTGTCCTGCACATCCTTGGCAGATGGCAACAGTAATCGCAGCGCCTGCTCTCGCCTTCTCACAGGCAAAGCACGAAGAAGATGTCCGAATTTGGTGGATGGCTGCACCACTCTCCAGGGCTGTCGCCAGTCCCCAGCCAGCGGCAGGTTTGCAATGTTGATCTGCAGTCCACTCACTTTGGCAGATCTGCGTAGCTGCACAGTATAGGATTCTCTGCTGAGGCTGCCGCCCAGTCCTCTGGTGCAGGCCAACGACCGTAAATTCGAATCACGAGACCACGGCCACGTGGTGGCTCCTGAAAGAAACGCAGTTCAGGTCAAGTTGCCTCCAAGCCAATACCACCTTGCTGCGCAGCTGCGCCGCTTCACGTGCAGCATTGGCAGCTTTTGTGGCTTCCTGTAGCCCATTACATCGACGCATCATGCCATGAAAACCCTTCATCATGTTGCAGGCACCTCGCCCCATGCCTTCACAGCATCGAAAGCCTGAGGAGAAGCAAAGCTTGCCTTCCGTGCTCCCCTTGACATCATCACATCCTCATGACTGGATCTCATAAGTCGCTCACAAAGTCCTTGACCACGGACTGCGCGGAGCTGAACCATCTGACGAGAAAGAGCCGCGCTTGGGCTGCCAGCAGGCTTACTAATCTTACCAGCGACTGCTTGTCGCGTCCTGTCAGCCACCCACTTGAACTGCTCAGAGGTCGACGACCGCGGCGCCTCAAGAAATTCAAGAGACCACGACGGCAAACCAAGGAATCCATGTGCTGTCCGGCAGGCTCCAGTCCAGTCGCCAATGTTGGCCTCCAGTCTGTAGGCCTCAGCCCAACACACACCGATCAGCGTATTCATCCAAGTACGGTGCCACTCAGCGGCCAGCCTGCGGTCCCCAGCGCTCCCAGAAGGCAAGGACTTCAACGCGAAGCAACTCCTCCACAAAAAAAATGCGCTGTTCAGTTCTGCTCCATCTCCGCCCGATGCTCCTCCCACGTCGGCTCTGATGCCCAACGGTTCGCAAAGTTCGCGACTTGGTCGAAGCCCTCAGCAGCCTGAAAGCCGATGTACGTTCGATGCCCAGGCATGCAATTCATGTGGGTAGTTGTCAAAATTATGGTCCCATTTGGGGTACCCTAAATAATAGGTGCCGTATTATAATAAGGACCCAAAACGGGACCCTAATTTTGACAACCACCCATGTGAAGTGTCTACGTTTGTGTACAGTACCGTACCGTTGTCTGCGATCGCATTTCATCGGTCGTCGAATCGAACCTGCCTGCCTTGGAGAATTCGCCCTTTGCTAGATTCTCCAGCGCACCGTTGATAACACCGGTGAACGCTTGAAAGCGGCGCTTCCTCAGTGCAAAACACGTCAGCCAGATTTCATCTCAGGTGTGCCTCGGGCCAGCGGCTCCGACGCTTATTCCGCCACACATCAAGACAGCAAACGAAACCCGGTGCTTGTGACCTCGCTTCGCCTTTGCACCAATTGCGACTGAGTGTCTGGATCTTTCGTATCCTCTCGGCTCTAGTTTCTTCTCGACTCCGCCTCCACTCGGTGACAACGCGGAGGAATTGCCGCGAGAGAACGGCCACAAGGAATGACGACCCCAGGATGACCACGATGGGAACTAAGGACTGCTCGACGAACTGCGGCAACTCCTGCACAAAAGCTCCCACCCAAACTTTCTCCCGCCAATTCGGGGTCTCCGTGGCCCGTTTTGGGACCAGCTCGAACTCTTGACAGGGTCTAGGGTACTGGGTCAACGGGGGTAAAGATCCATGACAATCCTCAGCGCGAATTCCAGGAAGCTCCCTGTCTCTAATACATTATATCATGAAATATATACATATACATACATATATATATATATATATGCATACATATACATCTATCTATATATATACACACATATATGTATGTACACATATACATAATATACTATGGCCAGTGTATACATTTGACATAATATGCAATCTTCTGTCCTCTGGTAGCAATCCGTTGTTCGGACGCTCAGGAGTCGGCATCGGCTCGTCTGCCAATTGCCGCAGCATCCTTGAGCTGGAAGAGAGCTGAGACAAAAGGGCTTATCAGGCTTGTCATAGGGCTTAGAGTTTGGATTTCAGGGTCTAGGGTTTGGGGTTCAGTTCTGCTGGCGCCTACGTAGCGCAAGTAGGAGAAAAGGGAAGAAGCATGAGCCAGTCGGGCTCAGGATCTCTGGCTTCTGCTGCATCTTCCCCCATACTTCAGCATCCTTGTTGCCCAGAATTTCGAGCTGGTCCTTCGGAGCTCAACGGGTGGGTCGCCGGGTTGCCGGGCTGCCTATGTAGATACGCTTGTGGCGGCAGATTGGAAGCTTTTGGAAACAGATTGTTTGTCCTCAATTCCTGCTTGCAGATCGCGGATCAGCCCTGATAGCACAACCTTGGTCAGGCTAACGGGCATCAAGGAAAAAACTTTCATTGGCAAGCCTCCAGTGCCTCGAGCTGCGAAGGTTGATCTATTCGGGTTACTTACATCTGCAAGCTGCTACGAGTCTGCCGCAGGGCTTGACGATGCACGAAGTATTCCATAAACCAAGGCTGGGGCATCATCGTCGCGGGGTAGCCCCTCATCTGTTGGCTTCATTAGCCTTTCGGCACCATTGCGCAGGGACTCCATTTTGGAGCCGAGGCTTTGCAGGATTGTTCCCAGAGCATTGTTGGACTCCGAAACCTGAAAGGAATCAGAAGTAATCAGAGTTTCGAGCATGCTTGTTGCTGCACGCAATCCAAAGCTAATCCAAAGCTGCTCCCAGGCCGCCAGGGAGCGTACCTTTCCTCTTGCAGTTGACTTGCCAACAGGTCGGCATAGGTGGTCGAGTCAATCTTCAGGCTCTGAGGCTCCACGTCTAGCGCCTCCTCCTGCGTGCCCTGGTTCACCAGTCCAGCTTTGCGGAGGAACAAGGCCCAGCAAAGCAGGATGAAATTCAACGACCAGCCCAAGGCACCCGTCCACCGCCAGAACTGGCGCCTTGCAAGGCGTTGCAAACTCTGATCTGGTGGAAGAACAACAAACTACAAGGACCTTGCGGTAGCCTGTCACATCCTGTCGCGATTGAACAACCTGCAATCGAGATTCTCCCGTGTGAAGATGTCTGTTTTTGGAGGCATCTTCTCCGCGGTATCCTCGTCAAGAGCTTCCAGCACCAGCTCTTCCAGCACAGTCACTTCGCTTTCGTTGACATCTGCCTCCAATGGGACGCAGCTCATTGCAGGCCTTGACGATTCACGCAATGTCAGGACCTTTCCTCGCAGTAACGCGCCTGCAGGTAGGGTGGCGGTGGCGGCCAGGCTGCTCGGTCGTAGAGATCCGAAAGCTCTTCGCCCTCGTCGCTCTGCTCTGCTCTCCCAGTCGGCTTCCACTGAAGGAAACGCTTGAAGCCTCGCAGTAGCTCGGATCTTGGGGAGTCTCTTCTATTTGATGGCGCTTCACGATGGCAGTGGTGCACACTCAAGAAGACTTCTTGGGCACTAACTTGAGGCGTTGTTTCACTGTCGCACTGGGGGGGTAGTTGTTGATCGCTCCGGCCGTGACACATGAACTGTTGACAGAGCCAACGTCGTGCCAACGATGTCAATAAACTGAGCACAGGAGAGGTCCAACGTGGCGTTTCTTCGTTTCTCACAATTCGGCCGCATGTATTGCTGGAGTATCCTATCCCGCAACGGAGTTCTGTCAACATAAGCACGCGGACCATTACCAACCCAACCAACAGGAGTATTGCATTGCACCCGAGAAATGGACGAAGAAGCGTGCAATGCCTGCGGAAGCAGATCGAGCTCAGGACAATTGCTCTCGGTGGCCGAGTAACCACCAGATGCTCAAGAAATGCCAAGAAGCTAAGCGCTATCACAGAGAGCTTGCAGCACAGCTAGACCACCCCCTACTAAATGTCCGGCTTGGAGCTGTGAACCCCAGAAGAAGTGCCCCGGCAAAAGAAGAAGAGACAACCGATTCTAGTGACAATCCCTGACCTGACAAGTGGCACGGCATGAAACGGGAGAGCAGTCGACATCGAAAGCACTAGCAGCAGTCTCTTGGCACAGTACTTGCGAGGACACAGACACGCCAAGACAACCGCCCGTGATCGGGAGTCCTTTGCTAAGGCCAGTTACCGATCGCCGTGTAACCCTGGCTGCAACAGTGCGGATGAGCCAACCGCGTCAGGAACTAGAGAAATGCTGGCAGCAGTAGCGGCAAGAATGATAGCAATCACAGTAACAACACCGAAAGTGGTGCAAGCATGTGCCAACTGTCACAACAGATACCGCGAACCGCATGAGTCCATAACAGCCAGAGTAAGCAAAACGTCGTGACTAGCAGTCCTTGTTCAACTGAAACACAGAACGAGTACACATGATACGCAAAAATAACATCGAGGATACTGAGAGAAAACACCACCAAACTTGTGCTACCGAAGACGCGATAACAGCATTGACAAGCCAAAATCTAGAGAAGGCAAGAAGCCAGAAGCCACGGAAAGCGAAGCCTCAAAAGACGACGGCAGAACTCAAGAGGCGAGAAAGCCGTGTAAGCCAAAAGACGAGAAGCCGAAGCCAGCTTGCATTCTGCTCATGAAATCATGCAGTAATACGGAAGCACAACAGCTCTGGAGTGCTTCATGTCCTTCTAGTAAACGTCTTATGTGAAACCCAGTGGGACTCACAGATCCACATTCTCATAAACAAACACACCATCCTAGCACCGATGTGCTTGCGGATCGGTGCAGATGTCAGAGAGAAAAATTGAACTAGGGATTGGAGAGGAGTGCCACGTGCTTGCAATATCCAAACACCTCCGGCAGACGGTTGTATCAAGGAGAGAGAGAGAGAGAGAGAGAGAAAAAAATGACAGAGAGAGAGATAGACAGAGCGAGGGGAGCGATCGCTCTGCCTTGCCGTAGCCCATGGCGGACCACAGTCCGTTGAGGCCAAACTCCTCCGGTCGGCTCTCTCACCCCTTTCATGTGGGTAGTTGTCAAAATTATGGTCCCTTTTGGGGTACCCTGAATAATAGGTGCCGTATTATAATAAGGACCCAAAAAGGGACCATAATTTTGACAACCACCCATGTGCAGGTTTGGCTCTCTCAACACGGTGTGGTCAGGACACGGCTAGCCTGGACGGTCTCTGATGCCGTACCCGCTGAGGCGAGATGACCTAAGGCAGAAGGTAGTCAAGTGACATGCACAAAGCTAGTGGCCACCTTGATTGTAGCCTTGTGTCCTGTTATGTCAAAAGCAAGCTACACTCAGCATCCATCTGCAACTAAAGGTGTTGGGGGTTTGGTTTTGCCTCATTGTCCAAGCATTTCCAGGGTCAGGAAGCTTCCTGTCAGAAACTCCCACGCCCCGTGGAAATTGCTGCATCATGTCGGTGCGCCGCACATGGATCTGCAAATGGCAGATTTACCACACCCCGGCCTGGAATTGAGTGGTCGCAACTCCGAGAAGCCCCCGTGCACGAAAATAAAAATCCAACACGTCGCATGCACATCTGACGGATAGATCCATCGTGTCTCTGTCTGGCTGTGTCTGCATCTGGCGGTCTCTGTCTGCCTCTGTCTGTTCCAGTCTCATATTCTCCGTCTTGAATGCTTCCTTCCTACAGCACAGGCATGAAAATGAAACAAGGGAACTCGAGTACCTGACATTTTCACGACAAAGCTGGGACCCCGGAAGGGGGCACCTGTAAGCGGCAACATTTGCTCCCCAGTGGAGGGCTGAAAAGCTGTCGCCGGCGAGGGGGGCCCAGAGCAAGCAAGCCCGAAGTAAACTGAAGCCCGAAAACTCAAATAACAATAAAAAATGAAAATAAGAACCACAATAACAATGTATCTGCGTGCATACCTAGCACCTCGGCATCAGGAACGAAAGCTGCGGCACCATCCCAGCGACCTTCCCCTGTCGTTAGGACATGGGAGGAGGCAAGCACATAAAGTGATCGTGAAGGAACAAGGAGACATGTTACTCAGTGACTGTCCTGCAAGGCCAGCATGAGCAACGCTGCAACCTGAGACCGCCAGCTGCGGGAGGATTCCAACAAGGAGACTTAAAGTTCAGTTTGGAAATCCGGAGGAAACTCAAATGAGCACAAGTCGCAAGAACGCGCTGTGTGCACCTGCGTGGGGAGGTGCGCCGCTGGAAGCTCTGTGAATCGGCCGCCATCACGCCAAGGATGCCAAGCCATCGCTGTGTCACTGCAACTCATCCAGGTGTCTCTTGCAGAGCCATTGTTTGCCATGTTGGCCGTGAGACATGTGCTGAGAGCTTGAAGCCGGTTCATGTGTGCTGAGTTCCACTGAATGCAGCCGAAGTGGCTGCAATTATCGTGCACGGCTCTGCAGTGCAAAACACAGCAAGCGGCTAGGATGCAGAGTCCAGCAGCACACAGGCAGGAGGAGGTTACCCGTCGCAGGCCACCCTCCAAGTAGAGTCTGCGGTAGTCTGAGAAAGGCATGCCTCGCGAGCAGACCAAGGCAAACATGTATGGCGACAGGCTCAGGTCCTCAAGCCTAGCAACCTGCAACCGGCAGAGTCATTCGGCCTTTTTCTGGAGCCTTCACGTCAGGATTCACGGCGATGAGCAGTTGCTGGCAAGGAGGCAAGAAGCATCGCTCGACACCACTGTGGCCAACCCGACGTCTGCTGATGAGGGCCAAAGGCCCAAAAGCCTATATTATGTTATATTTTATTTTCTTATATTGTATTATATTATATTATATCATATTATATTATGTTCTAAGTTCTGGCCTTGAGCTGGTCGCTGTTGTACATGGCCTCTCCACCTTCGGTGCTGACCTGGAGCTCGTTGAACTCCTGCCACAGAACACAAAAAAGGCGCTTCATGCGGGATCTGAGACAGGCTGCTCTGCCAGGACAGTGTAGAGAGTCTGGGCTCCACGCTTTCAAGTTGAGGATGCCATCTTTGTCGGTGTCGAACTTCTCGAAGATCTGACCAAGCATGGCTCTCCAAACCTACTACAGCATGCGGCCCCCGCACGGCTTGCGAGTCTCTTCAGGGGCCCAGCAAGCTGGACTCTTTTTGCATCGCTGTCCTCCTTAAAGACGCACCTTTATATCCTTAGAGTCTTTGAGCCGGGTGAAGGTCACTCAGTGCACTTCGCCCTGTTTTCTCATGGTTGTAGCTACAAGGCTCTATAGAAAGGCACGGCGAGTGCACTGCGAGCTCAAGTAAAGGCTTGAAAACCCGCGATCATCTGCACTGGTGCGGTACCAAGCCACACCAGCCCCAGCCCGGTAGAGAAGACATGTTGGACATCTAGCACCCACCTGCCAGCCGGAATCACCGCTCTGTCAGCGTCTGTAGGAAAATTAGCTCTTCGGCCTAAAGCTTGCAGCCCAGCAGATACGGGTGAGACACGAGGCAAAAAGGTGCGAATCGAAATCCCATGCTGCCCACAAATTAGGGCCTGTCCGTCCAAATGCCTATGGCGGCCATGGTGTGAAGTCTCTGCCTTCGCATTCCCCAAGGTCTGGGTAATCTTCCAAGCCCTTGCCCGGAGCAGTGACGAGGATCCTTCAAACTTAGACTGTGATTCAGAACAGCTGCCACACTTCACACCTGCCGCGGGCCAGCATGCCCAAAGAAGTATACTAAGCCAATCTCATGGTTCTGCGTGCTTGGAGGAGTCACGCTTCCCGGAACAGTCATCTTTCCGCGCCATTCACTGACAGCTGAATACACCTGTGAAGGAATCATAGAGACTCTCAAGCTAACGCCGTTAACATCAGGGAGCACATCTTTTGGCACTTCGAGAAAGAAGGCTGTCCAGGGTACCGGAAGGTCTTGCCAAAGCTGTCACACATGTCACTTCGTATCAAAGGGCATCTCTCTCCTGCAATCACGAAGAGACAAACTGCCCAATCTGGGCCCGTATGGATAACTTCTGGTTACTACACAAGAGCCACTTCGTCCTGGATGCAGCGCATTCGGCTTTCCTGAAAGGAGCTCCTAATCTTGACTCGCCGGTCTTGCAAACTATTTCGGAAACGTATTCCCAGGCCCGGGCGCTGTTCTCTTTACCTGGGAGAAGCGGATCAGAGGCTGTCCAACCGACCCACATAAATCAGGTCCTTTTGTTGTGGGTGCACTCGCGAGCTCAATCGCCAAAGCATGGGCTACTCCTCGTGACAAAGCTTGATTTGCAATACCAGCGGCTTGGCTTGCTCGAGCACACGCATTGCTTCGTCCACCTGCACAGCACGAGAGCTCGTAAACAAGGCCTGAAACCGCTGCCCAGTTTCTTCCAGCAAACCTTGGCTTTGAGCTGGGGCCCGCTGTCCAACAAGATCAACAGTTCAGAGTTGTCCATCTCGAGCATCATGCCTAGCGGCTGTGCGTTGCTTCATTGCGTCTA